GCATAAATCGTGTTTAACAGAGCGACGCGGAGGAGTGACACGAATTTTAATCGGGCGGCAAGTTGCGGGTCGGCGCGCATCATGCGGCGGCGTTGACAAAACGCTTCAAATGAACGTTGAATCAACGTTGAATAAACACCGCCGCAAATTAGAGCGACGGCGCATAATAACCGCTACGTTCAGTAATATTTCAGCATGAATCCAGTATGTCTATTATTCGTGAAATTATCCCCCCGTGAAAAAGGAAAAAACAGAAGAAGAAAAGGGAGAGGGAGAAATAGGGGGTGGAGAAGGGGGAAAAAAAAGAAAGAGGAACACGGGAGAGCGGGTTCATTTCATAAGTGGGCGTTTTACAGAGCGACGCTGTAACCTGCGCGTTAAAGCGAATTTTAATTTGGCTTAAGCGGGTATTTTATCTAGCGGGGCACTAAAAATGCTTAAAATACTGCCGCAGTGAATAAAACACCTCTCGGAATCAGAAATGAAAAATGTTTACGTTACGACTGTACGTTACGTTAAATGGCATTTTAATGTAAGCGTTAATCATCAAGTATTATTTTGATTACTTTCATCAAGCGCCTCTCGCAAAAAAATAATCTTTTGAAAACAAACATCCGAACTATAACAATATACTTTTGTCGGAGCGCTACGTTGATTTTCACGTTTTTCTTTCTCTTGTTGCAGATCTGGCGATTCGTCCTTCCTCTCCCGAGGAGAAGAATGTGGGATGCACGCGTAGCTCAATAATGCACACGCTTCTCTGGGAGAAACAACTCTCTCAATAAAATCTTTCCAAAGGATCAACTTTTACTTACTAAAAGTAGTTTAAATTCCATCCTGTAGATTTCATGTACAGATTATTCAGAGTCATATTCATAAGAGAGATGTTTCTCCGCCGGAGAATGTAAGCAAAAGCTTTTGTTTCAAACTAGTAGGAGTACGGAAGCGAAATTTAATATCTTTAATTTTACGTTTGAAACACGTACCTCAGGGCGAGGAACAAAAGCATTTGCCCCCGTTTTATCCGTAAGACCGATTCGTTGCCGCTGCATCCGACGTCGGTGAAAGGGCCGAGGAGTACTGAAGAAACTGAGGAAGAATGTGTTGGGCGTTACAGGCGGGCCTGACTCTTTGCTCGGCCCGTACTTTTAATGTTGGGTGAGCAAAGTTTCAGGTGTGTTTGTGTCGTCGTGACATCGCGCCGTAACGTCGCGAAAAGGAAGACGATCCTTTTTTTACGTGATCATCCGAGCCGGCGCCTCTTAACGTTACTCTTACGCCTGAAATTTGCTTTTTTTACCTGGCCTCTGCGCTCTCTTACTTTGAGAAATAAAAGGTGAGCAAAGTTTCAGGTGTGTGAGTGCGTTAAATTTGTACGCGCGTGCGCGTGCGCTGTTTAAAATTTTGCAACACACTCGCCAAGGACAATTTGTGGTGGTCGCTAATTAAAGTCATTATAATTTCTCAAAAGCGATAAACAAAAGGATACGCGTTTGGATTGTTTTGTGATAACACGACATTATTGTTCGATACATTGCTGCTGAATATCACAGTGATATTCAACCACGCAGGATCAACTGAATTAATTAATTAAATTGAACTTTATTACAGAATAATTAGCTGCTGTTCATTTTGGCATTTTCGATGCTCTTGTTATCGATGTATATTTATATTTAAAGATCGGATTCGTCAGATTCGATTTTTATCAGCATTTTCATAAATAAATATAATCGCATTTGTTGAAACATCAAGTGTGTTTATTAACATTATAATAAATTATTAAAAAATGTAATAGATAACATGCGATTATAGAGATTCATAATTGTTTGCAGCATTGAGGATTAATGAAAAATTTATTTTTCTTTACTGCATTACAATGTATTTATAAAATGTCACGTAACAATTAATAATACTGTAATGTAATATTAATTAATAATACGGTAATGTAATATAATACTATTAAATATATTAAATATATATACTATTAAATATATAATCAACTATAAAATTAGATTTGTAAGAATATTTAAAATAAGAATATGTAAAGTAATTCAGACAAATAAAAGGATTACATTTTCAATTGGAAAAATAGGAAATTTATTTATTGCAATATTATAATTACATTTCTCGTTAGAAATAAATTTTTCCATACTTATCCCGTTGCATTGCATTTTACTATACCCACATTTTCTTCCTTACTTCCATATTGATTAACAGATTGATAATTTACTAATTGAAAGGCAAATAGAGATGGTATTTTTTTTTAATCATAAATAAATCACATATAATAGGAATTAATTAAAACATATGAAATGTATATATTAATATGAATATATAAGTTGACAAATTTTACAAATATTCTTTTATTAAATGAATAACAAAGAAAGTGTTTAATGAATATATTAATCGTCTTAAAAAATAATACGATAATTGATTGTATATATCGAATTTCCGTACAAAATACAATATCTTCTTTGATTTTATTATCTTGCATCACGATAAAGCAAATAACATAAAGTAATTATATCGTCTATTGCGCTCATGAATAATTTTCATTGTGCGTTTAATTGAAGCTATTGAGAGATCATTGATATTAATTTACAATAATTATTGACGTAGAATAATAAACAAGCACGCAAAATATCAATTCTGCGTTGCTAACTCGGTTATAAAAACTTAAAAATGCAAAAACATAAAAAGCATAAATGTAAATTCATTAAAAAAATTACATTAGTTTCTACTGCGATATGAAAAATTAAAAAATTTTTTATTTTTGCAATACGAAAAAAAAAACGCGATTGGAAAATTTTATCATTATTCTTTAAATCTAGAAACTTTTCTTAACACCTAACCTTCTTACCTTAATTTCATATATTCTTTCTCATGTCTTGTCAATTAGTATTTGAATAAAAAAAATAACATTAGATGTTTAAAATTATATATAATATTTTTTTTATTTGTTTAATGTATTATTAAAAAAAATATTGTGTGATTGGACAATATTTATATCACGCATTACGTGTCATTTCCGATATGCTGATTGCAACAACGTTTTTAGGTTGGCTACCCTGGCCGAAGCGAGCAGACTGGAGCAGACGACGGGCCGCCATTTTCTGAGAAGTTACGTGAGAGCGATCGGTCGGGTATCTCGGCAAGAATGATTAATCCCGCGAGTTTGATCACTCGACAAGCGGTGAGGAGGTTTACGACGAGTGCGGTTCGCAGAAGCGCACATCACGATCCCTACGATGGTGTTCCCGGACATGTAAGTGACGACAGATTCGCGTTGCATACGCATTGCGTAATATTCTGAGGCGCTTGATGGACCTAACCGCAATTTTTTTTCTTTCAGAATTTCCCATTTAGTACAAAAAATAGGCACGTACTGCTAGGAATGTTCATGGTTTTTTGCGGTAGTGGATTCTCCATTCCCTTCCTCTTGGTTCGCCATCAGTTGAAGAAATAAGCTTTTAGTATGTTGTTATCTTGCGAGTCAGATATTTTGTAAACAAATCTCTTTCATAAAGATCGGCCGCGTTCAGCAGAATGTTTATTTCAGAAACTGCAAGTTTTCTGTGCTAAGATTGGATTATTCCTTTAGATTTGAAAGAATAATGTAATTTCATTACAGAAAACTTCTAAAGTCTTGTGTCCGATAGTAAAAATTGGTTCGACATCTGGGACAGAAAGAGAATTGACCCATTGCATTGATCGATTATGGCTGAATTATTCAAATGCAGTTAGTCAATTCTGTTTTCATCTGAGATCTTAAACTAATTTCTATCATCATAGACACAAGGCTTAATAGTTACAAAATAAATATTTTGCTGAAAGTAGCCTTTATGTCAATGGAATGTTAATTTTTTATCAATTGACAAGATTTTGATATAATCATGTGATTTTTCAGATTACCTGGCTCTATACTGCACTAGTACCATGTCCTGTATATCGATGCTGCGAGCATTGTTTGACTACACTAGGATAACACAATAGAAAATGTATGTGTTTATAATAAAGACAATGATTAATGTCTAATGTCTTTAAATATTTATTAAAAATATATCATTATTGTTGCTAACTTTTAATTCTGTATATTTGAATAATTCACCTATAGCATATTCGAGTTTCAGTTGTTAATTCCTCACAGATTGCTAATAAATCGATAAATAGATAATCATACTTCTAATATTCTAAAAAGATAAGCACACTAATGATTTTAGCGATAAAAAGAATTTACAGATATATGAGGGAGGGATATATATAGAAATACAATTATCACAATATTTCAGCATTTTATATTTGAGGGATTGATATCAAAAACAGGTCCACAAATAAAACATTTTTTTATTATAGTGTTATGTTGACTAGATAACAGTGGTGTTATTCGGATTTATCAAAAATTAAATAAATTGTATTATATGGACAATTAATTATTTAGATGTAATTTTATAAAAATCAAATTTGGCCTTAACAATTTAACAAAAATCATACAAGTTAAAAATTATCCAATTCTATTAGATCTAATTTCTATTAGAGCATAATAGTTTTGAATATACAAATTAAAAAAATGTTATAAAGTATTGATTAAATTTTTAAATAAAATTTTAAATAAAGCGTTTAGTAAAGTTATTTTATTAAAATTGAAGTCTAGTTATTTTTTGTAGATAATACTCGTAACATAAGTAACAACTATTCTATCAAAAACCAAATAAGTTATATATCTCCAATTCATCCTATTTTTTCTTAAATAACAGCGATATAAAACAAAAATGACAAGAAAATGTTTGTAACAATATATTTTGTATATTAAAAACATAAAAATCTTAAGATTTAAGATAATTAAAATAAAGTTCTTTTTAATAAAGTTCCTAAAAATTAAAAATTTTGAATTAATTTGGCTTTTGATTTGGTTTTTGATTGAATTAATTTGGAATTTTGGAATCAACTCCTTATTTATGTATAACATTTATTTATAACATATATTTTCTCTAATACAATAGATATTCAATAATTAATGCACTATTTAATAGGTATATCTTAAAAGTAAGTGCGTGCATAACTGGGTAAATATTACATAGTTCTTCAATTAGTGATCAAGCCTAAAATATCTTACAAGCTTCTTTTATCGTAAAACTATGTAATCCTCCGCGTTATTCGCAGTACGTTTTCTTATACACGTATATCTTTATCATGTATCAAAATCATATTCTGGTAGTCGAGGTCCTTTACGATATGATTGTTTTGGATAATCTATGTAAAATTAATAATTATTATACATGTAAATACATTATCCGAAGAGATAATGGATAAAAAAATTTATTATTTTTAATCAATTATGTATCATGTATTATTTTATATATCAAAAAATACTTACGGTTATTATAATCTTCATGAGATCGATAAGACTCTGGGTTAATAATTGGGGCATTCTTCACACGATGCGATCCCCATTCATCTTCTTGCACCTACGGCAATCAAAAATAAAATTTATTTTGAGCATTAACAATCATCTTACGTTAAATTTACAATAAAGATAGCCATTTTTTTTTAAAGACATTAATAAAAATTTATCATATACATTCGATGATTTTACGAACGTGCGTCTTGTCGTGTTTCCTTTTTTCGTTTTGTTTTCGCCGTTTTTTATTTATATAAAACTTCCCCTTTTTCTTCGTAGCTCTATCCCACTGCTGATCCTCGTCTCCACTCGCATTCTTAATTAATGGTTGTCCCTCCACGGGTACCTGCAAGGTGAACTAAATCTTTTATTACTAGCCAGTCTTAGCCTTGTTTAAATTGTCACAATATGTCGCAGTCTTACCTCTCGTTCAAACGCGTCTTCCTTGATACTAGCTATTTTCTTTACAAAGAGCTTCTTTTTGGCGCAGCAGATTAACCACAGCACTAGCAAACATATCGATACCATCACGCCAATGCTCGCCAAAGTTACCATTACTGCGGAGAAAGAATTCCAGAGCTGTAAAAAAAAAAAAAAAAAAAAGAAAGAAAGGATTAATAACACTGAAATCCGCACTGAAATCAAAATACCTAAAATAAATAATAGACAAGTAAAATGTGTGTGATGTGTGTTTTGAAGAATTATATTCAGCGATGTTTTGTAAATAAATCTAATCAAATATCACGCACCATATTGTGACACCCTTTCGTCAGTGGATTAGTGCACGTACGACAAACTCTGGCGCCGTGATTCGGCTGATACGTTCCGGTCGGGCATTTTTTACAGTGCGACATCCCGTCCTCGCTGTAAGTGCCCACGCTACAAGGAACTAAACAAACAAATCGGCTTAGCTTTTAATTTAATTCACTATATATATCATATTGATTTCTCTTATGCGGCTCGTCGCATACCGCAATGTGCATCACGAAGACCGTATCCCGCCGGACAACTGGAGAACAAACCGACATTGCTGGATCTGTCGCCAAATACGTTTGCGTCGGTCTTTCCCCTCTTCCACCTGGCAAACGACGACTTTTCGGTGCTCGGGACCAGCCTCTGCTCGTAATGCGGCAATCTGAAAATCACTGTAGTTAAAGAACTCTATAGAGAGATGTATCGTGAGGCATATAAGGAACGCAAACGTCCCTCTTCTTTAATACAATATATAATTGGCTATCAATTGTATATTTCACGCGTGTCGTCTTCACGCGTGTAAAATACTTACAGAAAGATATCTTGCGAATGGATAATTTAAAAATATTAAAAAGATTGCATTGCATTTATCAAAAATATTCGAAAGATATCTTTTTGGTAAATGCAATGCAATTTGATAAAAATAATAGACGAAATTAATAATTTTTGCGTTGTAAGAAAGTAGAGGAAACGTTGCGACACGATAAAATGAGCATATATTTGTCAACTAACGAGTTTTCCCAAGGAAGATTCGCAAATTTTCACTCAATATCAGCGACAGTTTATTCTGGATAGCTTTGAGACAAAAGACATTGCAATGTTTGAGATCGATCGCCATCAGTCTGACGATATGAGATGGCACTAGCAGAACATTTACCGTCATCTGTAACGAGAATACGCGCTTATTAAATCAATAATAAATAAATAAATAAAATTGAAATAAATAAATAAGTAAAATTGAAATATTTACGAAAATATATTTTCATGATGAAGAAAACGTACTTGACTTCGAGAGCAAGATGGCGTTAAGACGTAAGCATTACAGATGTCCGCTTCGCATATTACGCTGTTCAATTTTAGGGGTAGATACGTCACCAGCACGTCCAAGTCACTTTCGTCGCAAGACCGCGTATGATAACAATTTTCCCCACGAACGATATATTTTGGCAGCGTGACAACTACGTAAAATTTTTTTTACAGTATGATGAAACATTAAGTTATGTTCACCGCGAAACTCCGAAACAAGTCCTTAATATAAATTTCAGTTAACAAATAAATAATTTACCTTGCAAATGGATCTCGTAAGTGGTCTCCACGGGTTCCTCATTATCGGGGCTCATGTAAGTCATGATGCACGTGTAATTCCCTGTATCTTTCGCGTTTACGTTTCGTAATTCCAAATCGCCATTTTCCGCCACGAAGCCTACGATAAGCGCTCTCGTAAATAGTTATTATTCTAAAATCCCTTTTGAAATTTCGTATATGCGATATGCCATACCGAAGAGTGCGATACCATCCGTTCTTTTCCACGTATAACTCGGCCTGCTAACACTTGACAGCCAAGTGATACCACCGCCATCTTGATTGCAGGGTAAATTGAGATTAAGGCCGGGTAATGAAATAATATCGTGATCTGGAAAAAAAATGCCTCGCGTTGTTACGTCAATTATTCTCAACGTTAAATATTTGACGAAAAAAGAGATTTGCAATAAGAATATACCATTGTCAAAGTCCGAGTCGCTTTTGAAGTCGTTCTCCAGTTCTTCCAGTTTGATGTATTTCTGGCCTTTCAGCGATTCGATATTGTAACGCGATTGTGGAAACTCTCTGGCTTCCTCCATATCAGAGTCCATCGAAATCACTATTTTATTCTGGATCTCTTTATATTCGCTGCAATTAAGCGCTTTAATCTCATCCAACGAAAAGCTTTTTCTCTCAAGTATAGATCGTATACCGTTAATTATATTCATTATATCACAAATGCAATTGAAACAGTTATGGACTCTCTTCTCGTCCGACACAGATACTGATTTATTTTTACGATCAATGAAACTGCAATGCGTCATTTTCTCATCTTTCTTCTTGCTGTTCTCCACAATCTTTATTTGAGAATATCGCTTCGTAGTTGTCTTATGATGTTCATTTTTTTTATTTACGATACGATTATCCTTGTTATGAGAAGAATGTAAATTAATATCGTGTAACGTTCGCGATTTTGTTAGTTGCTTCTTTTTCCGTTTATTTGCAACATCTTTGTGCTTGGCAATTGGATGCTTCGATTTATTCGCGTTAATACCGCATAGCTTGCGGCTCTTCGCTGTTATTGAATTCTCATCATCAGTAAGCGGGAAATCATTAAATTTTATTTTTTCCCTTATTTTTCCTTCGAAATTTCGCTTGTAACAATTCGGATCATGCAACTTTTGCGATTCATGCTTTGGTTTCTTCGCCATCATGCTGGCTTGCCTCGTTCTTAGTTTGTAATTTTGACGAGACGTAGTTTTTCCCGTTACATTTTTAAGACTAGCATTTCGCTTTCGGATAGAAATGTACTTTCTCCTCCCATCATTATAAATATTTCGTTTGCGATAACGCGTATTAGACTTTATCTCGGCGTTTCTTTCGTTTTTAAGAACAACGTCGAAACAAGTGGTTTTAGTAATCGATACGCCGATAGTTTTGTCAATCGTAGTTGTTAAAAACGTAGTTGTTAAAATCGTAGTGTTAAAAACAGCTGACGATTCTGTAACAAAGTCGAGTTGCCAAAATCTAGTGCCGCCCAAATGATACATTGTATTTTTCTCCGTAGGCCACGCTCGATCTAATATTTCTCTTTTATTTTCTTCTATCGTCGTTCTTTTCTTCTTGTTTTTATCTAAGAATCTCTCATATATCCGTGTCGATACTTCATGTTCCTCGTAATTCATGTAATCTGTAATATTAAAATTACATTCTAAAAAAATAAGATTTTTATCGCAATGTCAGAGGCCGTAAAAAACATAAATTCTAAATATTACAATTAAATTTATTAAATAAAAGTGACATAAGCTACAGCAGAATCAATCGTGTGATGAAATATTATAACAAAAATAAATAAATAATGGACAAATGAATAAATTTATAAAAATTTGGATATTTGAAAAGGCAAAATTTCTTTTCATACTTTCTATAATATCCTCCATGTAATCATCATATTCTTCCATCTTTTTTTCTGCTTTATCTGACGATTCATCATCTTCCTCCTTTAAATCCTCCTTTTTCTCTTCATATGACATTGTAATTTTTCTATCTTTTCCCAATCCAGTCACATAAATGTCGTCATTTGATTCAGATAAAATCGCTGTTAGTTCATCTTCTGGTTTAATGGATATTATTTCATGGATCTGTTCATCCTTATTGTAACTGAGATGTAATACGTTCACCGTGTAAAATCCATCTTCTACCTCTTCAGCAGCAATCTTCGTTGCTCTCTGATTTGAAAGATTGATCGTATTTTTCTCAGAATAAGACGGTGTATTGTTCTCAATCAATAAAGCATTTCTTTTTTGGACACTTGCTTTGTCGTTATTAGAAACATTATTTTTTTAGGAATTACATCATATCCGAAGAAAGTGTTTCTCTTTCTGTATTCCTTACTATTCAACATAGACGTGGTTGGTTGAAAAATACTTTTGTGATGATCAAGAACATGTTGTTCATATAAAGGAGTTCTATCTTGAAAATTACTAATTATATTTTCTCGTGTATCGATCTTTTTTGGAAATTTTCTCATTTTTTCATAGATTCGAATGAAGCCTTTAATGTATTGCAGTGGTTTTGTAGTTTCGTTGCTTAGCCATTCATGTTGCAACAGCTGCAAATTGTCGATCTTACGTGTAGTGTCTATCACCCTTCGTCTTTTTTGATACCGAAAATTTAATGGAAGATTCGATCTTGACTTTCTAATCTTTTTCGTACTTCGCAAAGCAAGAAGTTTCCTGTTTAGTCGTCCGATAGACTTCTCTTCGTTTTTCTTGGGAAAATACGGCAGACAGATCTTTTTGGTCACTATGTCTCTTCTTCCTTTATCTAAGGAAATTGTTCTATTTTCCAGAACATTCAAGCATATTCTCTTTGTCACTATTTCTTCTTGTTCTCCTTCTTCTTTTTCTCGCATAGTTTCTTCAGAAATATGCTCTGTTCGTTCTTCCTCTTCGATGTATTTTATTTCTGTATATCGAGGTGTCATCATCTTCGTAGTTGTTTGATTTTCTTTCTTTTCAGTCACTCTTTTAATCTGCGTTGTTGCTTGTGCTTGTGTTGCTTTTGTAATAGTCTCTTCAATCGGTGGCATTGGCGTTGATAAACTTGTAGGCACAGTCGATTTCTTGGACGATGTAATCGTCGTTTTTTTCTTCTCAATTTCTTCAATGTATTTTGTAAAGTCTCTTATGTTCTTTTCTAATTTTTTCTCTCTTTCTATTAAAATCTTTTCTCTTTCCTCTAATTCGCGTTCCTTCTTACGCAATTTTTCTTTTAATCTTTCTATTTCTTCATATTCTATTGCTATCATGCTAATAGTTGAAGTCGAAAAAGTAGTTGTACTAATAAATGTTAATGTTGGTAAAGTAAATAAAGGTTTATAAATATCTGTGTAAGTTCTATATGTTTCTTCTGTACTGTACCAAGTAGGGGTTGTAACCAAAGCTATACTGATTTCTTCAAATTTTTCACTGAATGTAATAATGGGTAAAGTAGTGAATTTTTCAATAATAAGTGGACTAGTAATAGTAGATGAAACAAATAAAGGTTCACTGTAAAAAGTTATATAACTTGTAGCATACATCTCTTCAATAGAATAAGGAGTTGTAGTTTCAACTGAAGTTAAACCGATACTATATAAATCCATAATAGATGTTGTAATATGTGGCGTCAGAGTTATGTAACCCGTGATATATGCTTCCTCTGTCTCTTCTGTATATGTAACAGATGTGCTTTTCTCTGTAGTGTAGAATATAAATGTTTCTTTTGTTTCTTCTGTAGCGTACATTGTAGATGTACTGCCCTCTGTAGTTTCTTCTTCCGTTATCCCTGTAGTCAACGTAATCTCTTCTGTGATACTAAATGGAGTTGAAACCGTAATAATTTCGACTAAGCTCAACGTAGATGTCTCGAGAGCAAATAATGTGACTTCAATCTCTGTAGTAGTCGATACAGTCAAATTTTTTCTACTGACAAAAGTTGTCAACTCAGTAATAGTGGTCGTAACATTCAATAAGCCTTCGATTATACCAGTCAGTGTAATATTCTTCGCTTCCTCACGCTGCATTATTTCCTTACACTTTTCCTTTTCTCTTTCCCACTGTTTCTCCCTCTCCTTCAGCCTCTCTTCTCTTTCCGCTATCTCCTTCTCGTACCGCTTGAGATCATCGAGTCGTTGCAGTAACTGTTCTTTCAGTTCTTGTTCGATTTTGCTCGTTGTAGTAGGTAAAAGTTCAGTTTCCGCTGGAATAAACGGTGTGACAGGCTGAATAGTCATAGTTTCTTCCGTAACTAGCATCGTCATTGCTGAAGTAGTAACTTCATAACCAGTTTCAACAATACCTTCTATTTCAAAAAATGCAGTACTCATAGTTGTAGTCCGTATTTCCGTAATGAAAGCCTTCTCCGATAACGTTGTTAGTGTCGACGAAACGAAGAAAGAAGTTACTTTCTCCACGGTAACTTCGGACTCCGAAACACTTTCTGAAGTTTCTTCGATCTTCGAAATTTCTTCAGGCTTTGTGATGAATTTTGGCAAGGTAACCCTGTGCGTAATTAAGTGCACTTCTTTCTTTGTAGATCTTGGAGGAAGCGTTAGATATTCAAGTGGCTCCGTCATGATTTCGAAAGCTGTTGAAGGAGAAAGAGTGTATTCATCAGTAGAACCAAAAGTTATCCATATTATTGTTGATTCTTTACTTGTAGCGAATGTTGTAAATTCAGTTTCCACTTTGATCGTTATGTGCTCAACAATAGTCGATGTAAACGTTTCCAAAGCAGATGTCGCAGTGATTTCTTTTTCGGTGTATGTATAAGGTGTTCTTGAAGTGGCTGCAGTTAAAGTCACAGCATAGGTCGATGTAGTTTCAGAAGATATTAAGTATCTTGTAAATCCTAAAGTTTCTGTTTCATACAAAGATGTCGTTGTACTTTTGATGAAAGGTGAACTCGTTGTCCTTTCCTCAGGTCGTATCGTATATTTTACCGCTTTAGTCGTCCTTGCTTTCGTCGTCGTGGTTTCATATTCTTCATAATAATACCATTTATCAGTCGGTATTTCAGTACCATATTCTTCATATTCTTCATACTCTTCGTAGGCCGGTCCTTTCGCTATGTAATATTCTGTTTCGGCCTCGGGCATTTCTTCAGTGATTGCCGATACAGTAGTATGAACCGTTGTCTTAATAAATAACGTTATAGGTTTTGTAATATATGTTATCGATGGACTTTCAGTCGTCGACACTGTTGTAAACTCCTCGAATACAATTTCTGGCAATATAGAAATAACTTCCGGTGTAGTAGCAGGTGTTTCTGACGTAATTAATATGGATAGAATAGATTCAGAAAATGGAGCAAGCGTCACGGTGATTGCAGCTTCTAAGATCGTTACGTATTCTGGTCTTTCAATAGTTGGCAGCACCATAGAAGGCGTTATCGAACTTATCTCCGTAATTTCTGTAGCAGTTTCTAAAAATAAAGCAGTTGTCGTTGCTAATGTAGGTACAAAACTGGTACTAACTGTTACTAACAATGTACTTTTTTCAGTAAAAATCAACGTAATTTTCGAAAGTGTCGATATTTCTTCAGTAAATGTTATAGGAGTAACGATCTTTTCAATAAATAAGGTTTCTTCAGTTGTTATGGGTAAAGTAATCATTTCGGTTACAAGAGAAGTTGCTTCTGTAATTGTTTTAATAAAAAATGGTGTGGTAGATGACAGCAGATACGGTATTGCTGTTGTTTCTTTTACGATAGAGATTTCTTCTGTAGTAATCGTTATTTTTTCTTTCGTACTTTCATAATAATATTCTTCTGTTTCTTTATATTCTTTTACAGAAAACGTTGTAGTTTCGATCTTTGTTAAAAAAGTTGAAGTAAGTAAAGTAGAACTAGTTTCATAAACTGTTGTTTTAGTTACAACAGGTGTCGTAATTAAAATTTTAGTGATAGAAGGCATTATTATCGAAGATGTTGTACTCTCGAGGATCTCCGCTGTACTAGAAACTGTCACATTTATGGTTGTATACGTTGTAATAGATGATGTAGTCGGAAATGTTTCGATTTCAGATATCGTTGTAGGAATCGACGATACAGTTGTGGTTTGAAGTGTCTCGAGCGAAGACGTTGTAAATGGGGAAATCGTGATTTCTTCTATTAAAAATGTAGAGAGCGTAGTACTCGGCGTTTTACTTAGCATCGTACTTGTAATCAGTAACAATGGCGATGTCGTTGTTACTTTAAATGTAGTTGGAACTGTAGTTTTAAAAAAAGTCGGTGTGACAGAACCTGTCGTCGTAGTAAAAAATGTGCTAGAAATTGTGGTATATGGCATTTCACTTAATGTTGCATTCGGAATTGATGGTGTTGTTGTTGTTGTTAATTTCAAAATAGGAATCGTGGTTTTAATAGAAGTTACTGTAACAGGTGCTTTTGTAGTAAAAATTGTAGTGAAAAGAGTCGGAATTGTTGACAAAAATTCTTTCATTTTCGAGGATATAGTTGTCATAAATGATGTAGTACTTTCAGTTGTAAAAAATTTAGTTGTAATATTCGTAGTTAAAGTCAATGAAATTTCAGTGGTTTCTAAGCTTTCGGTACTTGGTGCAGTTTCAGTAGTCGTTTTAATTTCAGTAGTTGATGGAGTTTCACTAATTGTTGGCATTAAAGTTTTTACACTTGTAGTTTCTTTAGTAATTGGAATTTCTATAATTGTTGAAATTCCAGTAGGCATTGAAATTTCCATAGTTGCTGTAGTTCCTTTAATTGTTGGAATTTTTTAGTTGGTGTTATCTCGGCAATTGTTGTAGTTTCGTTAAATACTGGCGTTTCTGTAGTTGTTAAAGTTTCAGTAATTGTTAAAATTTTGGAAATTGTTGTAATCTCTGTAATCGGTGAAATTTCAGTAGTTATCAAAATTTCAGTTTTAGTTTCAAAAGTGGTTTCAACAGGTGTTGAAGTCTTGACACTTGTAGTTTTTTCAGTTGTTGGAATTATTTTAGTCGTAAGTATTTTGCTAGTTGTACTTTCGATAAATACTGACGTCTCTGTAGTTGT